TTCAAACAAGCCCAATCGTAAAAAGAGTTTGCGGTCCGTATTAGCCGGAAAAGGAAAGAATAAATGTGTGAAGGACAATTTCTAAGATATAATCCTGCAAAATGACTTTTGAATTTTTTAAATTAACTCTAATTGGACCATATCTTATAAACTCTTTGTAATTAAGAAACTAATCATATTAACTTGAATTAAGAAACTGACCCAAGAGATTTACTCGGAAATAATAAAATAATTTAAGAGAGGATACTTGTGCTTTACAATTCTACAATTGTACTCTAATGTTTCAAGGAAATGAGACATTTAACCCTAATTTTATAAATAATTTTTTTTTTCAAATATCACAACTATCATTTTAGTTATGGAAAGATCTTTTCATTTCTCCTCTCTCTCTCTCCCATTAGCATGGTGAGCTTTCATTATTTTTTTAATCTTCGTTTGCTCTTCCAATAATAGTCCGCACTTGATCACTTTCGATATTTTTAGAAAAGCGGGGTGAAAGACAATGGAGAATACCTCAAAAATCCCCTACACCATCTTCTATGATTTTTTAATGAATTGAAACAGAGCTCCAAACACACCTATTGAATTGAATCGAATTGAAGAACATTGCTTGTTAGACAAGAAAGAAAGAAAAGAAAAGAAGAAGAAGAAGAAGAAGAAGATAGAATTGATTAATTGAATAACCATTCATTTTCTAGCTCTGGCATCTATGAACAAGTAGCAATGATATAATATATATATATATATATATATATATATATATAATTTTATTTTTTATTTAAAGTTAATAATACAATTTCAAGTAGGAGAGAAATGTTTGATGTTTCCAAATAAACTGTAGTTTGAACATTTTTTTCTGAAACTCTTTACAGTTGAGAAAGTGATTACACTACCTGCAATTTTAAGAGATTGACTTGGTGACGACAAAATGATAGACCAATCAAAGTGATAAAAATAGTTAAAGTTTAATTAATGATACGCTTATTTTATTTTATTTTGACTTTGAGTTTGTTCGGCCTTGGTCAGTTTAGTCTCTCAAGACCATAATGAATGATTTACTGGGGCGTGTTGAATTGAAGTGGATTCCTCACTCCTACACTGGTCCCACGCTATATGTCTCTCTAGTTTTGTTTAACCAAAGGGTTTTTTTTATCTTAGAATTAGAATTGATAAAATTAAAAAAAAAAAAAAATTAGTTTAATTTTGTTAGTTATTTTTTAAAAAAATTTATAAATTTTAATTCATATTTTTAAGAATTTAAACAAACAATTTAACATTTGTTACTTTCAAAAATTTCTTTATTCATTTTTCTATTTGTCAATGACCTCAAAGTGACTTTCAATTTAAAAAGTTGTCTTTATATTACATTTTATAAAAAATAAGAATATATTGTTATTTTATAAAATTTGGTAATAATTGTGTAAAAAAGAATACTCTATAAGTGTGTTGAGTAGAAGAATCAAATCTCAAGAAATCAAAATAATAAATGCTAAACTGTTCCACACGACAAGGAAAAAACAGTAATAATTTACCCACTAAACGCCCACCGCCATTGTCTAATTCAATTGTTTGAAACATATGAATGTCATATTCCGTAATAAATATAAATATAACACATCTATGTCATTGTCAGCAATAAATAAATATATATATATATTCCTCGAGAAAAGCTCCTCTATTATACAATTGGACTATATTCTTAAATGTAATGACACATATAATCCTAATTTTATAAATTAATAATTAGTTTTTTTCAAGTATCACATCCACCATTTTCAGTTTTGATAGTAAAAAAAAAAAATTTGTTTCTCCTTTTCTCAATTAGCCCCCCCTTTTTTTTTGTTAACTCATTTTTTCTCTAGCCTCTCTCAACTTTTTTCTCTACTTTATATTAATTTTCTATTCTCTCTCATTTGAGTGGTCTTTATAAAGAACAATGAAAGAACTCACATGTAATAATAATAATAAAACGATAAATTGCATTGACATTTCTTAATATTTTGGTCAATGTCACTCAGATGCGAGTCAACGATTTTTTAATAATGACACCTCATATGATTTTAAATATCATATTTGCCTCCTGATTATTTAATTTAATTAATTTACAAAATATCAACCCTATTAATATGACAAAACTACCCCATTATTAAACCTCTTTATCTACCCTAATCTTTAACTCTTTTTTTTTCCCCGTTGTGGTGGGTCTGGGCTGGCTATGTTTTTTTTATTTTATTTTATTTATTTATTTTTTACTCTGGTGGTGGTGACTGTGATGTGGTTTGGGTATGGTTGTGGTGGTTACAGTGGTGTCTAGGTTATCAAGGTGTTTCAAAAAAATTATTTTTATTTTTTCTATTGTGGTGGTATGGTAGTGGTGGTTTTGGTAGCGTCTGGGTGTGTTGGTGTTATTGTCTTAGTATGGTGGTAGTTTTGGTGGCATTTGGGATGTATGAGGAAGGGTGACAATTCGTGTTCGTGAGTCATAATCGTGTTATGTCGATATAAAGGTATTATATGAAGGACGGACAATACTTAAGTTCTCACTCGCATACTCACTGCTGATGTGAACCAATAATAAATTGACACGTCCTATTTTAATTTGATTACCATCTATGATTTGGTAAAAAAATATCTATACACCATCTTTGATCTGGTAATTAAAGATCATATGTTAATTTATTATTGATCCACATTAGCGGTGAGTATATTATAAATCCTCATTAGTGAGGACTTAAGTATTGTTCAGGAGTGACAATAGATAAATCCAAATTCAACCCATTTAATAATCGTGTTAAGAACTTTCAATACTAACCAACTTGTTTATTAAATAGGTAAACGTGTTAACCCGTTTAATAACCTGTTTATCAAAATGAGACATTTAATATTTAATCAAATACTAAATAATATAAAAAAATTGTCACAATTAACCCAAATATTCAAAATAAGAAGAAAAATCATAAGGCATAGACAAGATTTATGTTGAAATGACTTAACTATTCATAGTAATTGGGTTTAAATAGATAACATATTACATATGTCATATTCACGATTATAACAAGTTGAATTAAATGGGTAAAAAAATTACACAAGTTGAACCCCTCAACCCTAACCCGACACGGTTAAGTAAACAGGTTAATCGTGTCAACCAGTTTATGACCCAAACCCATTTAAGGTCAACCCAAACCCGTTTATTTCGTATCGTGTTAACGGGTCGTGTCGTAATTTGCCACCCATATGTATAAGTATGGATTGGCTATGGTTGTTGTTGTTGTTGGTTTTTTATTTTTTATTTATTTTTTTATTGTGGTGTTTGGGTGTGATGGTGGTGGTTATAGTGGTGTATAGTTATCTGGTTATTTAAAAAAAAAAAAAAATTATTTTTATTTTTATGATGTGGTGGTGGTTATGGTGTTACAAGTATTATTATTTATGAATTATATTTATATGTATAGAAGAGATGGAAATGTTAGTTTGATCCATTAAATTTAGTAAGGAGGTTAAATTTCTAATTCAATGATTTAAATAGAGTTGTTGACAAGTCAAATGATTAAAAGATAATTTAATATGGTTTCAAAAGTCTGGAAAGGTATCAATGCACATTTTTAAAACCTTAGGAGGAGTCAATTTAAAAAAAAATATTTAACTGTCCGTTGAGTGACGTTAACCGTGTCAGCACAATTTACCAAAAAAAAAAAAAAAAAATTTAAATAACAAGAATATCCCTAAGCTATTATGTAAATCCCTTTAATCGCCTCACAATTCCTCACACGGTTTTGATAATTTTTTTTCTCTTTTTTTTTTTTTTTTTTTTGAAAGGCGGTTTTGATCGATTGCTACATTACGAGGAATTAGAATTTGACCCATGACATGACATGACATGACATGTAACTGTTTATCTCTTCCTTCCAGCTGCATGGTCTTCACAGTTGACAGAGAAAGAAAGTCTAGAGAGAGAAAAAAAACCCGCAGTATATATATATATAAGGCTAAGGTTAGTCCCACTACAACCTTCCAGGCTCCAGCTCTCCTCTCTCTCTCTCTCCTTTACTTTCTCTCTCTCAAACTTTGGAGCTGTAGTTAGTAACTCTAACAATTAACCACCAAAGTTGTACATAGATTCTCTCTCTCTCTCTCTCTCTCTCTCTCTTAAAAAATCTAGCTTAGTCATCCTCTGGAAATCAAATTTTCAGGGAGGACTCAACTGATTGAGCAGGTCAGCTTATGCGTTTGTCATTTTAAGCTAGAACACCAAGATTTTAGAGTAAATTATACATAAATATGTGTGTGTATACATATATATATATTGGAGATGATCACATTTAGACTTTTGATTTCAAATTGTTTTATTTTCTAAGGTCTAATTTGGTTGCAGAGAAATGTAGGAAAATGGAAGAAATCAGACTTTTTATTTTATTTTTAATTTTTCATTGTTAGAGTGAAACCCAAGGCCATTTTTTGCAGAAATTAATCTTTTTTGACGCCCAGATCTTATTTGGTTGGTTCTGTTTTTAGATCTGTACGTGCAGCTGACGAATCCTAATTTTTGGTGACCATCACTTTTGGGGAACAATAATAGATTTTTGTATCAAAAATCTCCCAGCATGGTTAGGTCTCATTTTCATGGGTACAAAAATGCCTCAGCGCATGTGATTTTGATATCTTTTACCAGTGTTACCCTTTTCATTTTCCCAAGGACATCCCATTTAGCTACCCCCTCTCTCTATGTATACACACACACATACACACATGTATGTTCTATCTTTTCCTCAAAGGCTCATACCATCTGATATATATTGGTCTCTTTCATGTTTTCTTCATTGTACAAAAAGAAATATAATCTTTTAATGATTTTGACCTCATAATTTATCATATCATAACTCAGAATTTTCCTTCATTCACACGCACATATATATATATATTGAGATGTTAGCTAGTAAATCAGTCACCATCCAAAATACATCTACATTATTTCATTTGACTTGTAGCGAAGAAATTATTACATGGTGCATGACACAAGTTAGTGGTGAGGCCCATCACTAATTGTGGGAGAGTTGAAACAATGAATATTTAGGTGCAAAATTCGTACAATATCATTGAAACTTGTAGATTTAATGTGTATGCTCTCTATGCAGGTGAAAGAGAAAAAGGGCGCGAGTGCAGTTTGAGTACTTTGATGGGTTCTTCTATGAGTGTTAAAAGCAAAGGTGAGACACCTCGTAACCCTGGTTCCTATAACTTTTCCTCAACTTTTTGTTCAAATTTTTTTTTTTAGAACAAGTCATAGAACAGGATCACATACAGTTGTTTTGGCTGTTATCCCTATGAAATCAACACGGAATCTCAGTAATATATATATAAAAATCAGAGACTGGGTATATATTTAAAAGTGCATGATTTGAGTTTGTTTGTTGAGAAGTTCAATTTTCTGTCCGACATTGCTTGGTGAATTAATGAATGTTTTTTTGTGCATGATATACATGTATAGGGTTATACGTGCCACTTATAAATCCTCCGTCGACAGAGGATGAGATTTTAGAGTCCCCTGATTTGAAGAACTTTGCCTTTAGTGAACTCAAAAAAGTCACCAGAAACTTCCGTCCAGACGTCGGTCGTTCTGGTCTTGTCTTTAAAGGGTGGATTGACGAGAATACATTTAAAGCTGCCAAACTAGGGACTGGCATGGTTGTAGCTGTGGAGACACTAAACCAGTCACACGACTTTCACGGTAGTCACCAGGAATGGCTGGTATGTATAATCATATCGGCATCATCTACAATTTCAAAAAGACATCACTAGTAATTTCCTAATCATTTTGGGTCTCGTGTTGGAATTTGACCTTCATCTTTTAGTTATTAATTTGTTACTCCTTTTAAACGATTTACAGGCAGAAATAAATTATTTGGGGCAACTGTCTCATCCCAATCTAGTGAAACACGTGGGTTATTGTTTAGAGAATGAACATTGGCTTCTGGTATTTGATGAGTCCATGCTGTGGGGTAATTGGAAAAATCATCTATTTTCAAGTAAGTTTTTAATTCATTAATGTCATTACCTCTTCAACCATTCAGCTGATGTTATTTACAGACTCCAAATATTTCTCTTTATATATATATATATATATATGATTAAGAGACCGTGTTAATGAATTAACAGGGGCTTCTTATGTTGAACCACTTTCTTGGAACCTCCGTATGAAGGTTGCTCTTGGCGTTGCAAAGGGACTTGCATATCTTCACAGCCCAGAAGCAAAAGTCATATATCGCGTTTTCAAATCCTCTAATATCCTGCTTGATTCTGTATGTGAAATTAGCACTTCAATGCTTCTTATTCTGAAAGTTGAACAATATATATCTGTGGACTTCCATACATAAAATTTTCCATTGTTAAATTGACAGGACTTCAATGTAAAGCTTTCTATTTCAGAGTCGACCAAGGTTAATGATGAATTTCATATCATTGGTTATTTACCTCCTGATCTCTGCTTATGTAATGGTAAGGAAGTGGCATATGCACCTCCTGAGCTTGTAATCACAGGTATTCTAAATTCTCAGCTTAATTTGTTCGATCATTATCTATTCATTTGGCATTCCGGATATCCATAATTCATTCTCTTTACCTGTTCTGAAGGCTGGTCAACTACTAAAAGTGACACATTTGGTTTTGGGATTGTTCTCCTGGAGATTTTGACTGGCCAAGAAGCATTTGGGTATTGCAAATTTGTTGAATTGGTAAAGCCTTACATGGCCAGCAAAGGCAAAACTGTGGGTGTAATTGATCCTAGCATCGAAGGCCAGTACTGTGTAGGTGCAGCACTAAGAGCAGCTACAATTGCTATGCATTGCCTCCGACCAAATTCCAAGTTGAGGCCAAACATGAATCAAGTGGTGAATGCTTTGGAGAAGCTTCAGGAGCCTCACACAACATCATCATTCCACCAGGTAGGAGATGGAGCCACAATAGAAAGGTGACTAGCATCCCTCTTACTAAATATTAGCTGTTGGAACTTGTATTGAAGCTAAAGTCGCGCTATCTACTTGTCAGTAGCGATTGGAACTAACATTACTCTTAATATATTTATTATACAATTATGTCCTTGATAGTGGGTTCAATTCCATTTATTCCAAGGGGTTGACTCGGATGGTGAAGTTTCTTAGAATTTAGTGCCTCGTGAAGCATTAAGTCTCGAATCCAAATCCTTTCGAGTGCGATCAATTCTTCAGGGGCCATAATCACTGACATAATTCGAGCTTTACCCATTTGTGTGCAGGAGTAGAGTTGCATGACTTCCGTGAATTAGTCGGAACACCCCATTATCGGGAAAAAAAAAAAAAAAAAAAAAAAAAAATTCCTTTGGGACATATTCATTTTAATATAAAACGTATTAGTGAAATCATGATCCTCTAATTAATTAGCACAAGCAAGCCATGTGTGATCCATTGATATTCATCATCCCATGTGTGGCATTATTGACACTATCATAAAAATCTACTGTTGGAAAACTAAATTAAACACCAATGTGTGAGTTAATTTTGAGTTATGAACAACACAGAGAAGTCATAACATATGTGGTCATCATATATGATGTAAACCTCGTCATGTGATTCACAGTTCTTTATCACTAATGTAGCCCCAACACCAATACATAAAGTCTCACTGCAAGTATTGATCAGTTCCCTTGTTTGGTGTAGTGTCATCTTTTAATATATATATATATATTGTCATGATTTTGCATTACATATATCATATAATGTGAAAGCAACCAATTAGAAATTGTGAGTACTAATATGAAGCCAAAGGACATGGAATGGTAGATGTGTTCATAATTAAGTTTATGAGACAGATCAATCAACAATATATAAGCTAATTTAATTATATTTAAGCAATTGATTATTTGATATAATATATATAAATAAACGGAAAGACGAAAAGTAACTATACATGCTGTTGAAAAAATTGGTATTTGTAATTTCATTCAGCTTAATGTAATTATTGTCTCAATTGTTATATTGAGTCGAAGTGAATTAACTAGATATAGAGAAACTATTATATGGTCTGGTTTCGAGTCAATTACATGTTGACAAGAAAGCAAATGTGTTGAATTTATATTAGTTTTATTTAATTTTTTACGTATTTGTTAATTAGTCAACACATTTATTTGCGTGTCAATTAGTGATTGATAGTACCATATAATAATTTCTCATAGATATATTCAAATGAAAAATACTTCAAAAGTCAAAAAAATTATAAAGTATTCCTTAACTGAATGTTTCTGATTGGTTAATATTTCCGATTTGTATATTTGACCCATTGAAATAATTATACGCTCAACTCTTTGGCCCGAGTAACTCTATTGTATTTGAATTAATTTTTTATGTTGGCCGACTTTAATATATAGGTGAACAAAGTGAGAACCTGAAATGAATGAAAAGGCAACTAACATGAGGAGAAATGATGAGAAAATCTTTCCCCCCTTCGGGGTTTGTTTGTACATTCCTCTTTTAAATATTTATACAAGTTTACCTTTTCAACCAAAAAAAAATGACGAGAAAAGTTTGGATAGTTTTTATTTACCCAAAAAAAAAGTTTGGTTAGTTATTTTATTTTTTAACTTTACATTTTATTTTTGGATAAATTATATTCACCTCTTTTGACATTTGAACAAATTATATATATAGATAGACGGTTCATAGTTTATTTACTTTCACCTCCCTTAGATTTAGTATGTATGCTCAACAACAATTTTTTTTTTTCAACAAACTTCTATCTTGACCAAATTTTATAAAACAATGATTTTGTCTTTCTATGATATAAAATACACAATATAATAATATAGAATATTATTAAAGTATTAATTATTGAACCCGCTATTTGTATATAATTTAGAAAGTCTATGTAATTTACCTTCTAATTTTTTATTTTGTTTGGATTTTCTCTCCACGCTTTGAGGTAGACCAGTCAATTTTCTTTATGGGCCAGAAAGGCAATGACATCTCATGACCATAAAGACTTGTAATGGGGTTAATTTAGAATTTAACCCACCGCATGACAAAGACATTGTCGGTCTGCTATTCCTATATGAAGCACCTTTGCTCCTCAAAACATACCTCACTTGATCATATATATATCATCTCTCTCTCTCTCTCTCTCTCTCTCTCGTTATTTTAGTTTTCCACCTTCAACAACTTGAGTGATTGTCATATCAATCTTGTTATTACTATTTAATAAAAATTATAAATATTATTAAAGTATCATTATTATAAAGTACATTAAACTCCATTCAACTATACTTTATTTGTAACTAACACCCTAATTATAAATAATTTCCTTCAACTATTAAATTGGTTAAGTTTTTGGACGGAGAAAGTTTTTTGGTCCATTGCTGTTGACGAAAAATTTAAAAGACTCTTTTACCCCTTTTCAAAACTGTGTCATTTTGAAACTTAGTCACTCAAATAAATGACATGGCAACTAGCAATCTCAAAGACCAATACAATATAGGGTTATGTGCATAAAACACTCTTATAATATACTTACAGTGCATATTGCATCCCTCACATACAAAAAACACCCCTAAATTATGATATTTGTGCAAATAGGTCATATTCACACATTTATAACTAAAATGTCCTTAACTACACATTTAATAATATATATATATATGATTAATATTTTGTGAAATGACTAAAAAAGGTAGCTAACAAAAACTTACAATGTATGCACCATGCCAGTTCGCCAGAGGAAGAGAAGATGACAACCCAAGATAACCCAATTCATCAATTCTGCCACCCGAAAAATTCATCAAAAAATTGATTAACCAAACAACAACCAACCACCAATTCGCAACCCCAAACGTCGGCACTGATGATTGTGTTCACGGCCGCCGCCGCTGCTGCTTTCCTCTTCCATCGCATGTACATTACTTTCCTCTTCCATCACATATACAGTACACACATATACATCACAAATTTTTGCACACACAGAGAGGTATATAACTATATATAAATGGGTAGATATATATATATATATATATATATATATATATATATATATATATAACAAAGAACAGAGAGATGACCACCGCAATGGGGCAAGCTCGGAACGGCAGCAGCCCTCTATGACTCCGCGATGCTCCATAACAGCGTTCGCCAGTCACCACCACCACCACAATCTTATAACCATTTCTGCCCCAAACTGACCCACGACTCCATACTTCTTTCTTCCTCTATTCTTTGTACACAGTTATACACACATATGTATATGTATACACATTGATATATTCATTTTTTTTTTCATCTCTACCATACAATTCACAAAACCCATCTCCTAGTTTTTGGCCCCCAGTTCTTGAATTATCACTATAGACTCAAACAATTACGAACCCATCTTTCAATGGAGATTTCATCATGATGTTCCTCACCCTAATCAGTTCATTCCATTATCAATTCCGCTGTTCCACCTCGTCGTCATGGTTCCGCAAAATTCGATCATGGCCATGGTCACCGGCGAACAAGGAAGATCCTTTCCCTCTACCCAAATATCACTTCAGGTCACTGTCTAGTACTAGAATGCTTACCAAAATATATATGTAGATGTAGGAAAAAAAAAATTGAAAATTAGATGTTACAGGCTCTGTTTTATCTCATGTTAGCAGAAGAAATCAAGGTAGGGTGAAGCACCATTCTTCTTCTTCTTCTTCTTTTTTTTTTTTTTTTGCAACAACTACCAGTACTAGTTCTGCTTCTTGTTGCAGAAGTTCTTATTATTCTTATTTTGGGGTTTCAATCAAACACAGGAAACCTTCAATTCCCTTTCTGTGCCTTCGTCTCCAAAGCCCATAATCTCTGCTTTGCCCGGTGGTTGCAGTTTTGGGGTGAATAGTAAGGTTTGGTAGGAGCATTTTTGGAAAAGTAAAAGAGTAAAATGGGCATTATATTAATTAAGGGGTGTCCTCGCACAAATTGAAAAGAATAAGAGTATTTTTTGCACACCTTTTAAAATAAGGGGTAAAAGTGATATGAAATGTATACTTATCGGGTGTTTCTTGCATTTACCCCACTTCATACAATATAACTAGGGGTGGCAAAAGTTGACACGGCCCGTTAACACGATTCATACACGACACGAGTTAAATGAGTTTGGGTTGACCTTAAACGGATTCAGGTCATAAACGGGTCGACATGATTAACCCGTTTAATTAATTGTGTCGTGTTTGGGTTTAGTGGTTCAACCGGTGTAAACTGTTTAAACACATTTAACTATATATGTCGTAAATAAATTTCTATTTAAGTTCTAAAATTACTATATAAACTTGTGTCTTATAATTTAATCTTTTGTAAACTAGAAACTATTTAGTAATTTGATTGATTAAAACTTGTATTTTTTTTATTTTAGTATTTATTATTTTATTAAGTATTATTAATAATTTAAATAATATAATTTTTTATTTTTTATTTTTTTTTTGTAAATAGGTCATTAAACGGTTTACATGTGTAACCCGTTTAATAAACAGGTCGGGTTAGTATTGAGAGTTTCTGACACGATTATTAAATGGGTCGTATTCGGGTTGAACTGTTTAGTATATTATGTTGGTAAATATATGCTTCATGTGGCATTTAAGATATAACAAACTTTTTACTAATATGCCATGAGATAATTAACAATATGCTAAGAAATCGTTAATTAAATATGCAACTCTATATTTAATTAAATATGCAAAATACAGCAATAAAATAATAATAATAAATAAAGAACTTGGACCGAGGCTAGTATTGTATACTATATCCTTAAGATAGATTCACCCCTCATGGTGTTAACGGACTCAATGGCGTCTATCTCCCAGGATACAACGGTCTACATCCACCGGTAGCAGCACTACAAACTCATGGATACGGTGAACCTTCTCCGTGTAATACTCTCTCTAACTCAAAAATACATCTATACTATATAAATGCTGAATTGGGTGCAATCCGAACCAAATGGTTCGGACCAATCTTAATATGGCTCAATGAAATTGGATTAGGGTCTAAGTGGTTCGGACCACTTAACCTATGGTTTGAACCCACTTGGGTTGAGTTCAAGTCTAGAGAAGGAGATAGAAGAAAATGAAAATGAATTATTTGCAAATGATCCAAAAAGGTGGGGGGGGGGGGGGGGGGGTATTTATAGGCAACAAGGTGCCTTTTCGGGTTGGGTGCAACCCTTTGAAAAAAACTAAAAAGTAGTTTTTTAAGTAAGGTGTCTTTTCGGATTGGGTGTGTTTCTTTATCATTAAACACAACCATTCATATGTGTCTCTGCATCGTTGGATACAACCATTTATATGTGTCTCTTTATCATTTGACACAACCATTTGTATTGGTTGCAATGGTTCACATGGTGTCTGTTCACCAATAGACACATCCACTCCAATAGGTTGCAATGGTTCA